AAAAAATTTTATAACTCGAAAAATAAGTTACACGAATTAAAAGCAGTGAATATTTTCTCGTACGCTATCCGAATAAAAACTCGAATGACTCGAATTTAATTTTGGATGTTTTCTGCGACGCATCAAAGATGTCATATGAAACCCGCATTTTCCCTTGAGCAGAGGAATCGGACACAATAACCCTGTCAACTAGTTCAGGCGGGATCAGGAGTAGAACCTTTAAAAGGTCTATCTATATCCAGATTAGATTGTAGAGTCATTAGGTTAATTGGAAGCAGAACAGATGAAAAATATGCAACCGCCTTTGCCGAGAATCGAACCACGGACCTCTGAAATGCCGGGCCAGCGTGCTGAACCACTACACCACGAAGGCACGCTAGGGAAGTGGGAGAAATACCTTATATACTCCCCTTTTTAAAGGGCGACTAGGGTTTTAGGGGACTTAGTCGCCAAATCCTGGGTGCGGAGAATCATCATCCACAAGCCTTTTAGTTCGGGCGCCACTTTTAGAGTCATTAGGTATTTTTTGAAGCAGGCAAGATGAAAAATATGCGACCGCCTTCGCCGGGAATCGAACCACGGACCTCTGGAATACCGGCCCAGCGTGCTGAACCACTACACCACGAAGGCACGCTAGGGAAGTGGGATAAATACCTTATAAGATCTTTTGGCTTGTAATACTGGTGGAAGATTATCGAATTTGGTGAAGAAAGACTTAATATAAAGATATTTTATTCGTCAGATTCTGTGAACGTATATTGGACAAAGAAAGATTGCACTTGGGCTACATTTGTATTTAACGGAGTGTAAAAGAAAAAAGAATTTTATAGTCTGTTGATTCGTGAAGACGTGTTCCGAGAGTCCAAAACCCTACGGATCTCATCAAGAGGGTGTGGAACACAATCTTTTGGGAAATCGCAATGGTACTTGTATCCTGATTGGTTACTTAAACCAGAAGAAGAATAGTATTTTAAGAGTAAAGCCAAAATACTTTTCAAGTGCCATTTTAGGAGTAAAAACCAAAATGTTTAAGCTTGAAGATGACGTTAATTTTATACTTCGTATTGCTTTACCCTCAAATCATGTCGCTAATCAGCTTATAATGTGGAAACATGAACAGCTAGGACACTGTGGTGTACAGTCATTAATGGTTGAGACAGAGTTTCTGGATTTTGAAAAGTAGAATGACCATTTAAAATGCTATAAGGTGATACACTACTTGCAAAAAGATTCAATGGTAGAAGCAGTTTACCTGAAAACAGAGCGAGAAACGCATGTTTTTGAAATTATTGGAGAGGCTCTTGCTGATCCTCTTATACTGAAAAATGGGAGCAATGCCTGAATGCTGACCTGTGCTGTGTTTACAGCAGTACATTTGGAACTTTTGACATCTATAATCCACAAACCTTCTTACTTGGTCTGATACGATTCATATGTAGAAGAGGTCGTAGAAGAGGTATGTAGAAATGGCCTCTTGGAAGAGTTCTAGAAGTTTATCCTGGTTGACGGAGTTGTAAGAGGAGGCAAAATCAAAAGCAAGTCCGATACTTTAATTTGTCCCGTAAGAAACTTTGTTCGTTAGAACTGACAGATTCTTATCTGGTTATAGCAACTGTTCAAAAGACTAAAGCGTCTACTAGTACCAAAACTACATATAAGTGGACAATTAACAAGCAAACCCCGCAAATAATAACACTGAAAATTATGTTGAGTTCCGGTAACTTAACCAGTCTCAAGGTGGAGAATGTAAAGAACAGACTCAGTGACTTTCAGTGAAATATCCGTTATAAAATGAAAATATAAGTTAACTGTAACATGTAGCGGAACTTTTCACTGCAGATTACATTATATTTTTCTTATAGAAGCGTTTGGAAGTGACGATTTGCTTTGAAATTAATGTTCTTTTTTATCTGTTTTCAGTGTATTTTTATGCGTAAATATATCAATAAAGTCTCAAAATTCAATTTATTGAGACTTCCTTGTTGACTGTTACCAGGAATTTAAAAAATATATGGAGATAATTGACTCTTACTACTTTTAAATGTAAATTTCTTTAGGTTTAATTTTAATTTAACATATTCAGATCTGATCTACAGGTTGATACGAAGAAATAGTTGAAAGAGTAAAATGCAGACATGGCAGTTATTAAAGGCGGATTAACGCCATTAGTTCAACCTTAAGATGCATATATCAATAAAAACCTTTCAAGAAGAATTTAAAACGACAGCGGAACACGTGGATGCTAGATGGTTAAAAAATCTTAACATAAGAAGACCAATCAAACATCATGCTAGTCTAAAAATAGTGTGTGGGTGGATAATAAAAGTATGGAATGAAATTAACATAGTTCGATGATGCGTCTGAAGATATAATGGAAGAGTATTATGACGAACTTTTCATAAATGATGACTAAAATTTCATAATATGAGCCGATGATGAAAATTTTTTAATTAAAAAAATTTCGATCTATTTCACATGCATTTCAATTTAATTCTAAAATCACTCTTAAACTGTTTGAGCTGTCACAGATTTTTTTTTAAATAGGATATCTTATTTTATAATTCTTCGCTAGTATTATACTGCAAAAATTATCATAATTTCTGAGGACTACCAATGGATGAGTAAGATTATTGAATACTGGTAGTTTATCGCGGTGTCAATTCTTGACAATTGGACATCTGATTGTTGTTTCCTCACGTGCAGCGTGAATGCGGATTAGCTTTTCTTGGAAGCATAGCTCCTCCCTACCCCAGGGGCATTCCCACAAAACAGACAGCATTTTCTTAATCTAATTTAATTTAACAATTGAAGAACGAGTATTAACTAACTAGTTTCTTCCTACAAGTCAGACTTTTCAGTAGTGTTAACTGAATAAAGCTTCCCATTCCTCTAAGAAAGAAAAAAAAAAAAAGATTCAAAACCTTGTAAGATTCTCCACTGTGTCCTTCTATGTTACAGATGAAAGTGAAGAATCTTAAGAACTGATAAGCGAATAATCGCTTGAGTTCGTGTAACAGGAAACAACAAGATAGAAGGGTAAAATAACCCTTTATTATTCCAATCAAGATTTAACAGAAGTCCGTCTTGGAGTTGTACAATAAAGCCGACACTTGGGCTTGAACTTAACTAAGAATTAAACTAAACTAATCTTAACTAAAGAGATATAGCCAAGCTATCAAGATTCTAACAGAGTTGGCCCCTTAACGATAATTAACTGCGAAGCTATCAAGGGCCTAAAGTACGGCCGAGCGTAGTCGGACGCGTATAGCCAGAATATCTAGTATCTCTCTCACTAAGACTGATGAACTTCGCGGTTAAATACCGCTTTTCCTTATTAGCATTCAAACGTGATTCTAAAACTACGTTCTGGCCGGAAGTGGTAAGTTGAAATTAAGAATTGATATGAAAGGAAGTTTAACTCAAGATTCAACTGTTAATAAAATTAACATAATCCTTACAAGCTAAAAAAAAAAAAAAAATCTGAAAGGTTTCAGATTTTAAATTACGTCCAAAGGGGCGTTTTTTTAACGTTTTGTGCGTTACCTTTATTTATTAAATATCATGTTCTTTGGACTTAAACCATAAAATTCAGTTCAACAGTAATGTCGCAACATAATTTTAAAATAAGCATATCTTTAGAATTTCAGATACACAGTTCTGCGCGCTGGAGATAATTTTTTTTTTTTTTTCCCTTCCCGTAGAGTCTCGCTTTTAAATCGTTAAGTTTTTTTAATCGAAAATTCGTTAAAGTTTTACAAAATATGAAATCGATAATAAAACAAATCCCAAATTTGGGCTTCCAGATGCCCATATTCGCAGTAGGATCACGTCGTTCAAAATTGGATGGATCTAGGTACCGTTGTTTTATCACAATGGGAAAAACATACATACATTTATGCAGATTCTTCATTATTTAATTTCTTCAAATATAATGCAGGGCGGCAACAATAATGTAGTATTTGGTTTAATATAAATATAATATTTGGTGATACAGCCTTTTAAAGTTTTCAACGGAAAATCGCAAAACGAAAACAATAACTCTTCAGGGACAAAGCCCCATTGGACTATATATATTTAAAAAAAAAAAAGAGAGAGAGAAAATCTGAAAGATTTCAGATTTTATATTACGCTCAAAAGGGCGTTTTTTTTTTTTTTGTTTTTTTTTTTTTTTTTTTTTTTTTAACGTTTTCTGTGTTACTTTTATTGATTAAATATCATGTTCTTCGCACAACATATAACACTCAATTCAACAGCAGTATCACAAAATATTTAAAAGAGCATATCTCTTTAGAATTTTCCGATACACAGTATCGCGCGCTGGAGATTAAAATGTTTTTTTTTTTCCCCCTACAGTGTTGCCATTGAATGAACAAATTCGAAATTCAAAATTCCGGCTTCCGATTGCCCATGTTCGGTCAGAGGACTATGTTATTTAAAGTTTGATGATTCTAGGTACCGTTGTTTTTTTCACAATGCGAGAAACATTCATGCGTTCATGAAGATTCCTTAGTTTAGTTTCTTTAAATATAATACATGGCGCTAATACTTGGTGGCAACAGTCTGAAAAGTGAGCCAACGCAGAAAGTAAAACGACGCAAAATGCCGTTTTGAGACTAATGGCGCTTTGGGTCTAACGGCCCTTTGGGCTAAAAAACGAAGTCTTAAACAGGTTTAAACCTTTGCTACATGAACGTAGCAACTAACCGACAAATCAACTAACCATGAAATTCATATTCTATAGCAAGTGAACAATTTCAGGAGTACATTCGCCTAAAATAAAGGAAATATACGCAAGCAAATTTGTTCACACAGCCTAAGAATTTTTTTTTTTTTTTTTTCATTCTTTCTGAACACTAATTTAAACGTCACCTTTTCAAAACAAATTATGATTTATAAAAAATTGCGCATTATTATTATAAGGGAAGTAGATTTTATATTTGTATATTTATTTACACAGTGTATTCATAATAGTTTCTTTCCATTAAAGATTCTAAACTTACCTGGATCATGGAAAGGCACGAGAACATAATTATATATGGCTTTCTCTCTTCTCGCCAGAATAGTACTCAGTATTCTTGCTGCACCTTCAATAACTTGCACTAAGTCATCATACATAGATCCAGTTATGTCAAACACAAAAGCTAAGGTGGAAGCTCCTTCTGGAATCTCTTCTTCAAAAGATTCTCTTAATCCATAATAATTGTGAGAAAGCACTGTTTCACCAAATTTGAAAAACACTATAAAAAGGATAACAGACAAAATCGAAGACCAAAATTTTATCCTTAAAGCCATGATTTCTCTAGCCTAGAAAATTAACATAATCCAAAATTCCATTAACTCGAGGTATCCGAGGTGGTGATATTGTTATTCAACCCAACGACCTCAACAAGTTCACGGGCGGATAGCAGAGCACTCAATGGCCACAGAGAACATATTTCCATTCCCGAAACTACGAGAAGGTCAAAGTTCTCGTAATATGAACGAATGTGAGGTTAAAATGCTATCTTTCCCTTGCTCGTTTCCTCTCAGCGAAATGCTGGTATCGTGTTACTTGTTATCAGTGAAGGGACGGGTGTGTGGTGTGTTTATGGTCGGATGAAGGATAAATTAACGAGAACTGTCACTAAGAAAAGTGAAATATCCTTTCGTTTTACTTTTCCTTTTGACCCATCTGAACTCACATGATAAGCGGACGTCTGTTATAACTTTAAAGCAGTTCTTAAATTGCCCCGGAGCCCACCGGAGACCGGCTCCGGTGCTTCTCAATTTTTAAGATAAATTACAATTTTAGCCGGAGCGCACCGGAGCCCTAAATAAGATGAGCTCCGGTACTTCCTTTTATAAAACTGAACTACAATTTAAAGGGAAAAAATTAGAATTTCTAACGTTTTAGTAACAATAAACAGGCTTTGCAAAACTCTATTTCCCTAGAAATACGAACTCATGAGAACATGAGACGTTCAAATAAAGTTCCCTCACTCACATGCGGAAACCATGGAGGTAGGAAGTAAGATGGAGTTGCCCTAAACAAGTTTCTCCCGTACCCTGCTCTGAAGCACCGGCGATCTCTACGTGGTGACCAAAACATTGGGTCATTTACCATTGAGTTCAATGGGATTTGACGCGTTCGGATGTAAATATTTTGTAATTACGTCGTAAATATACATATAAATGTATATATTTTCTTTTTCTACAACACTTCAGAGTCCTAAGGATATGAAAACAACATATTTTTAAACAACATTTCATTCTGAACGGAATTAAATGCTATACTTTTCGCAGGACAGTTTTCTCAGAATGGTTTAATTTGAATGAAATATTTTCACACGTTTTCGTTAATTACATTAGAAACAAAAATTAAGGTAATTCGATTTTATTCGGTTAAGGTACAAAAATTAAGATCAAAGTTTATTGTATTATTAATATTAAAATTATGCATTATTTCTTTTCTATTTATAGAGCTTCTTCCTAAAATACTTTCTTAAATATGACATGATTTTTTGGCTTCTTTTAAATCGAAAAATGTAAGTCAATTTATAATTAATGCTCTATTCGGTTCATTTTAAATTAGAGAATTATTAGGAGTTAGCGAAATACTTTAAATAGTACTTGACTTTCTCTGAACATTTCTCAAAGGGAATAAAATAAGTTTTTTTTTAAGTATTATTTAAAACTTGTAACTGAGTTATTATAAAATGTATTGGGAATAATTCTTTTAATTATACTTATCAGATTTTTTTTTACCCTTCATTTCAACAATACATATTCGAAAACTCTTTATTACTTTCTTAAGTGCGCATCTCATAGCATTTGCTTTACAATACCTTTTAACAGATTGCTTTCCAATACGAACAATTCTTGCTTAAATAGTTTTATAATGTATTTGTCAACAGGATTTCAATTTATGTTTACAATTCAATATTAAGGTTATGATATATTTAGATAACATTTATAATCATTATAAATTAGATGCATTTAATAATTAGATTTCTTCACAGTACTTTCACAGTTGTTTATAAGTGAATAAATTCTTCATTTCAAATACATTTATAAATAATTTAATGAATATTTATGTATTTTGTCAAAGGCAGATACATGCTTTTTGCAATAATATGCAACAATAACATATGGATGTGAAAAAAATTTGTTTTATTTAAAACATTTTGGCGTTTGGAAAATAAAATAAAAGTAGCGAATACTGTATCAAGGGTATCGAAAGACGTATACAATTTTAAATGTACCGTAAGGTATTTTTCATTCTTTAAGCATAACATTTTTCTTAAAATCTATATTTTTGTAGTTCAACAGCTTAGAATTTTATAAAACAAATTCATAATTAAAATCGCGCTGTTGTTAGTTATCGAAAAATAACCAAGATGTGATTTTTGCGTAAATGTCACTAAACTATACAAATTGCTATTATCCATCACACTATGAATGTTTCTTTCATGCGAAAGTGTCCCTTTTTCGATTTGTATGGAACTGTCGTGTGTCGAAATACTATCAGAACCGTGTCAAGCGAGCTTCTGAATGTAAACAAAGAACACCCCATCTGGTGACCCAAGCTTCAAAGTAGTGCTTCACTTCTAGTGCCGACTGGCCCCTCCTTCCTTTCCTACCTCCATGGCGGAAACCTTTCCCTTTACGAGTAAATTTGGGGGAGTTTATTTAGGAACGCCTAAATTTCTTGTCATGCCATCGTATCTATTGTTATCGATAATTACAGTTAGTTACCCTCACAGGAAGGAAAATTTGTGTTCTTAAATGTGCGTTAAGTGACAGCGAGTACAATAAGAGTGAAATACTGAGATAAACTGCTCATGCACGTCTTATACATCGTTTTCCCACAGTATCCACTAATGGGGGAAAAGCGTAACCAGCAACTTCACATTTAGGAGTCCGATTTACCCCTGACACCCATCTGCCTGATGGCTATAATTATATCAACAGAGAGCTGCGGTCAAAGAGAAAGTTCTCTCTCACCAAGATTCCTCTCACTTTTTTTTTTTTTTTTTTTTTGTTTCCACTCACTCATACCCTCATTCTGTTTCGCCCTGGAATTTTCATCAGCTATACTTTAAGTATATTTAATTTTTGTGATGATAAAAGAACCCCCCCGTACTATCAGAACTTATATTGGGTCGGAACCCACTGGATCACGGCTCCGGTGCTTTTTAGTTTTTGTAATAAATCATAATTCTAGCCGGAACGCACCGGAGCCTTGAATAAGAGGGCTGCGGCACTCCTTTTATGTAATTGAAAACAATTTCACTAAAAATTTTATCTTGAAAATTTTATTTTAACAATAGAATTATATTAAAAATCGTGTAATAAATTTCAATTTATCTCTTTACATTTTATTTAATTTTAATTAGTTAATTACTTCAATCTTTAATTATTTCAATAAATAATAATTAATTATTATTTATTGAAAATATTATAAATAACATATTTATGATAAACATACAACCATAAAATTTCTTGTTGATGCAGGTAATGACATTCCTGACATCAAGAGAAAAACAAATTAGTGCTATTGCTTTATAATTATTTGCCACAAATAATACTAAAATTAAAATATACGGTAGAAAACCACTGAATTTAACTCTCGGTTTCAGGGAAAATTATAAATGAGATTTCATAATTGCTTGATGTTTAAATTTCCATAAGAGAAGCTGACTTTCTCATTGATTTTGGCTTACTAATCAATTTACGAAACAAAAAATTGACGCAGTGATAACTTTTGCTATTCCATCACAACACTCAGCTGAATGTTAAGACTGTTTCTGGATGTTGTGAATGTCGCGAAATACTTAAGAGAGTTTCCGGGAACAACTTTTTCCGTTTTACTTAACAAATCAATCTACCATGACACAGTTCATCATATAAATAATAACCAGTCCACTCCAACGCATGACAACTTGAAGTTTAATGATGAAACAAAAAAAAAAAAAAAAAAAAAAAAAAAAAAATGAGTTCGAATGTGTGTGAGGCAGGGAATTTGTCGACACATTATAAGTAAGTGGTCGTCGCTTTTACACTTTGTACATAAATAGCCTAAGGGCATTAAACCAGCTGGAGATTACAGAGTAATTAATTCAGTTACAGTTTTTGATTCATATTCTATTCTCCATAAACAAAATTTCGCTCAATCTGTTTACGGCAAAACAATGTCTTCTAAATTAGATATTGCAAGGGCTTATCATTATATACATGTCTATGAAAAACACACATCTAAAACAGCAGTAATTAATCCTTTCGATCTTTTTGTTTCCTTACTTAAATTTTGAACTCATAAATGGTGTTCATATCTTCTCAGCTTTTCATGCACAAAGTGTTACAAGGACTAGTTTTTTGTTATACATACTTATATGATATTATAATATTCTTAGAAAGCGAAATATTCCGTAAACAACACATTGCATAACTAAACAGATATACTTCAACATGTGTTTTCGGTGTTCTCGAAATAAAATTAGACGGTTTAAAAGCCAACAATGGGAGTAAACCTTTACTTGAAAGAGTAGCTATAATTTTGAACTTCGAAAAACCAGAAATTATTGAAGGTTTAAAGGAATTTTCTAAACTTACTAAACTTTTACAGTAGATATCTGCCACGTGCAGCTCATAATCAAGCATTACTTAGCGACTACGAAGCCGAAACTCTAGCATTTGTTTTCTAGAAAGCTCGCAGCCCTTGAGGTAAAATGCAACGCAAACGATAGAGAATTATTAGCAATCTACACATTCATTCGAAATTTAGATATATGCTAGAGGGACACAAATTTACAGTGTTTACCAATCACAAACTACTAGTATTTGCTTTCAAACAAAAAACTGAAAAATACTCCCCGCGTCAAAATAGTTAACTAGAACTTTATTTCGAGACTGATATCCAGTGCTTAAAAGAAATAGAAAACATTATTGCCGATATAATATAATATTCGTGAAATTAAAATTATTGGTCTTATTGATTATGTAGAAATTTTTAAGACACTAACAACAGATGACGACAGATAATGCTAACACTTCTTTACAAGTAACAAAAGTCAAGCCTCCAAAATTTAAGGTTATAATAATAATATTTGGGCTTCCCTGCTCCGCGAACATAAGCGCACTACAGGTCCACTCCCCCTTTGGGCACATCGTGGAGGTTCAACCTCCACTATTACCCTCCAAGGGAGCAGCGCACCACCTGGATATGACACCAGGCAGCACCGGTCGTCTAATGCTCCTACCAGTCGCTTGGGCGAGCCCGTCGCAGCGGGACATTACCCAGCGAACCCGGAGGACCCAAGGCTACTAGTACCACGCCGCGCTAGGACGAGCCAGACTCCGAGGCCGGCCAATAAGTGACCTTTCCCAGAGCCTTCTGAACCACCAAGTTCATAAATTTTATACCCCCGTGGCCAAGACTGCCTAGGTACAGATCCTAGCCAGTAGCTTCGCAGAGTTCTCTACGTCGACCCCCGGGGGGTTAGGTTAGGGTATTTAATTACGGCAAAACCTCGAGGGCTATCTGCCTAAGGGGAGGGATACCTTCGTGGAGGACTTTCTAAGGGAAACTGGCTCGTATACACGTTACACATGGGGAAAACCACGAAAATACCCATGCAGCCAGCCCGTTCGCGGGATTCGAACCTCGGACCGAACTACCAGTGTTCAGCGATTTTACCGCTCGGCCGCTGGTAGGTCCTCCAAAATTTAAAAACAGGGTTATATTGCGATATATCTATTAGAATGGCAAGGCATTTCAAAAGTTGTGTTTTAATCGAGTACGTAATTTAAGTCACCTAACCATTTGAGTGACGTCAGAATTAGTCCGTAGCCGATATGCCTAGCCAAATAAATATAAATAAAGACGTAATGAACTGGACGAGACAGTGTATTCCGTCTCAAAACGCTAAAATAACAAAGCCCACTTCAGCTTCTTCACAATCATTTAATGAAAATTCTAATCGATTTCAGATTTATCTAGATCTTATCGGTCAGCTTCCACCTTCAATGGATTCATATATTGCTTAACAACAAGGCTTTAGGCTTGATCACTGGAGGTGTTAAAACTACTCTCGTACTTGCTATGCATTTACTTTGTGATCTACAGCCAATGACTAACCTGGTTCGGAGGAATGCAGCTATCCTTTATAATAGACTTACTAGACTCCCAAATATTTCTTTTTGGCGTGAAAACTATTGTAACAGAGTACGTAATCTAAAGACTCGGAAAGGCTTCATTCAATGTGTCCAAGAGAACGTTCAATATAATGCTATTGGTTCTCGATGTCACATTAGACTTGACAGACATGACTAAATGTGAGGAAAAACGACCCATGCACAACTGCTCTTCGTGCCATCACTTTGGAAACCATTAATATTCGCTATCCTCTTAATGAGTGGTTTCATATTTACACTGATGGTTCCCTTTTGGATTTCACCCAGGGCGCTGGTGGCGTCTTCTGTGATCTATTTCCCTTTTACCTACATGTTGGCTATCATTACAACCCATTTTGACGGTGAAGTCGAGGCCATCCATTTAGCCCTTCAACAGCTTTCTGCCCGTCTCTCTCTTGATAAGGCTGTAATTTTATTGCACTCAAGTTCTGCTCTTCAGGCCTTAGCAAGTAACCTAGGAAAACAAAGTGCTCGTGTACAGACCTGCAAAGAGCTGTTGAGCAGTATTTAGACAAAGGTTGCTTTCCAGTGCATGCCATCACATTGTCGCCTTTGGGGAAATGAGATGGCGGACCTTTTGGGAAAAAAGGTACAATAGACTATTGACTGGACATGACTGTATTGGTGCTCATTTAATTCGTTTTAATCCGACTACCTCACCTTTATGTGGTTTGTGTGATTCTGGACAAGTCATGGACGCTGCTCATCTGGATCACTTAAGAGTTTGGACTGTATTGTAAAGAAGTATTGGAGAGCTCGTTACATAATGACCTGATGGTCAATGACCAAGTATTTGATAAATAAATTGTTTAAAAACGATTGATCGGTTCACTAGATAGATTGAAGCAATTCCCGTCATCGGTACTGAAGCTACAGCAGTTGCTAAAGCTTTTTACTTGAACTGGATCTCTCGCTTTGGTATTTCAACTCCTAGCACAACCAGACATCAGTTCAAATCTTGTTAATTTAAGGCTGTAACAAAGCTTCTTGGCGGTACAAATACTCACAACTGCTTATCATCCTCAAAGAAAACGAATATTCACAACTGCTTAATTGATCAATTTCACTTTCCTCTGAAATCTGCGTTATGTGCCATGAAACTCTAAATTTGAACAGAAATTTTACCAACTGTGTTGCTTGACATGAGAACAGCTCTCAGAGGAAGCATCGGTTGTACTTCCGCTGAATATGTGTATGGAACTAAATTAAACTACTGAGCAATTTTCTTGAAACATCGAATGCTGATATTGATCCTATCGAATAACTTAGAAGCTACGTGCAGCAGCTTAAGCCAAAACCAACTGATCACATACAACAAAAGCAATATTGATTCACACAGATTTGAAAAAAAGTGTTCACATGTGTTTGTGCTGCATGATGCAGTACGACGATCACTTTACCAAATTATGATAGCCCTTTTAAAATGTTCAAAACATTGTACAAAAGTTTTCAAATTATCCATTCACAGAAAAACAGTGCCAGAGTCAAAGGATCGTGTGAAACCAGCATTCATGTCTAATATGGATATGGATACTTGTTCTTCTGATATGTTAAAACATTCATCTGCAATTCACGCCAAACAGAATATTCGTCAAACTTGCTCTGGTAGACATGTGTATTTCCCTGACTTTTCCGTATCGTCAGGGTGCTACTAGATAGAGAGTATGCGGCAGACCACACGAAGAAGGAAATTCCTGTATGAGGTCCCCAAACAAGTCGCAAACTTCGAGCTGTTATGAGGTGTTAGATGACATGCTCTATGTCTGTAAAAGCTGCTCTGAGACTGTAAAAGCAATAACTTGTTCAATAATGCCCTTCGCTTGATATTGCAAAGACCATAACGGACAGTCCCAGGGGATTTTTAAAGATCTGTACTATGTCTGTTTTCAGGGCTTCTCAAATTCAAGGGGCTGACCGTCTAATGATTCTGTAACTCCTCTGATATCGTTTTCAACTATAACGAATCAAAGGCCGTAAAGTACAACAGAAAAATTAAAAGAGCATGATTAACTGAGTCTGCAAGATGTTTCAGACGACAACGTACTCAGAACTCTTTAAGACTCTCGATTAGAGAGATTCTTGCCACTTGCAAGATCCTAACGAGGACAATAACTTAATCTTCCAAATAATCACTTATATGTGCATTCAGTTGCTAGTTGTTGCTATTATAAAATTAACAGAACTTCTCGCAGTTGTATAATAAATGTGTTTTAAATTCAATGTCCATTTTAAGCGAAAAGTGATGTACTACAAGATATGTACGTATAATTTAAAATAAAAAATTAAAAGCAAATTCAAAAATTATATTATGATACAACAAAGAGGAGGGGGGGGGAGAAATTCATTCAATAAACTAAACTACCATAAATGCTAGGGATATAAGTGAAAATATTTTTCACTTATAATTGAAAATATTTTTCAATTATAATATTTTAATAATTAAAGTTAAGTAATTTTGTGGTAAAAATTTAAGTTATATTTCGATAACTAATGAGTAAATAATTATTGAGGTAAAGATTAAAACTAAATATTAAAATTGCTATTAATTTTAATTTGTTTTAATTTGAAAAAAATTCGCTAATTACGTAAACGGAAAAGTCGAAAAAATTCGCTATAATAATTATTGAAATTTGAGTCGTGACAAACTTACTACCCTGTTAATAACGCATATTTAAAAATTGAAATAATAATTAAATAAAAAAATAAATCTGAAATGTTTCAGATTTTAAATTACGTTCAAAATCTGAAATATTTCAGATTTTAAATTATGTTCAAAGGGACTTTTTTAACATTATGTGTGTTACCTTTATTTATTAAATATTATGTTCTTCGCACTTAAACCATAAAATTCAGTTGAAGAGCAATATCGCAAAATATTTTTAAATTGAGCATATTTTTATAATTTTCGATACACAGTTCCGTGCGTCGGAGGTAAAAAAGTTTTTTCTGTACAACGTTCCCATTGCTCGCTTTGAAATCCTTGAGTTTGGTAATCAAAAATTCGTTAAATTTTAATAAAATATGAAATCGATAATAAAACAAATTCAAAATTTTAAATTTGGGCTCCCAGATGCCCATATTCTCAGCAGGATTACGTCATTCAGAATTGGATTGCTCTAGGTAGGTACTGTTGTTTTATAACAATGCGAGAAATATGCATACATTTATGCAAATATTTGGTGGCAACAGTTTGAAAAGTGAAACGGACAATCAGAGTGATTCGACGCAAAATCGTAAAATGAAAACAATAGTCCCTTAGGGACAAAGCCTCTTTGGACTAATAAAGAATAAATAGATAAATAAATAAACAAAAAAGTGAACTGCATAATAATCAGAACTTTATTCCCTAATATTTCAGAAATTAATGAATAATAAATAAAAGATGAAATTTTTCCTAATAGGTCCCGTTTCTAGTTCTGTTAACATGCCACAGATGTTTGACCACCTCTGCAACAGAGATTTTCCGACAACCGAATATCTCTGTATGGACCGTTAGATCCACAGACTTGATTTTTACGATACCACGATGTGTGCACCTCTCTGCCAAGTACGTCGCAAGCATCTTGACGGCTGCTTGCACGGAGTCCTTCGTCTTGAAACTATAAAAATGCAAAATAATGATAGCATACAATACATACATTTACGATAAAAATGTTCATTAGCAACCATGAAAAAATTACAGAAAAACTTATTATGGATCATATTGAATTATACTAATAATCTAAAAGAAAACTAGGATGTTATAAAAATGACACATTTTATAATCCTGAAAGTAAATTTATTATAAAGAAAATAATCAGCAGAAAACGCTGAACAGACGTGCTTTTTGATCCATTAAACGGCACAATCAGAAATTTTTTCTTCCAGTGGACGATATTCTTCACCTCAACAATCATTTGTAGACGAGCGACCACTTAAAGATCAAAGCTACGGAGTGATCAGCTCGATGACCAATTCTCCGTTCTATCAACCACTTGTAGGATTAGATTGAAAAAGAGGGATCTATTTCTGTCCTACAAGATCTTCATAAACCAGAATAAAGCTTAACACTATACAGTGTGAGATTTTTAACAGCGTCATAGATAATAATGTGAAATAACAAGCCAGTATTAAAGTTGGGAGGAAAGGCATATTCCATATTAATATTAATCTACTTTTATTCTCAGTCAAATAGCATCCTTCTCTAACCATTTCCCAAACAAAAATCATGTAGATTTAAAAATTATTTAAACGTTTTGTTCTAAGTGTATGTTGTAAAAACAATGCAAGATAATCCTTGCAGTTTTTTAATAATGCTAATATTCCAGAGCCAAACCAAAACCTTTTGATAGTCTCGCAGGCCTTGTTCTGAATGCGTCGCACTTTCCCGCTTGCTTGCTTCTAACAAGTTAGTGGCTCACTTCTCTGTATCATCCAAAGATGTATACTTCCTAGAAGTGGGTTGCAAATTACACCCATGACCATATGTGAATCAGAATATGCGTCACCAGGATTATTTTGTTCGAAAATAAATTATATTGTACAGTGAATATTTGTCGAATGCGGACTTACGGAGTGGGATTTTGCTATATCTTAATTGTCTCTATTTAATTTGTCCAACGCGGGAATTTATGTTATATGCGTTATGTTGCAGAGCGTCGGCCGCTTTTCAATAATCCTCTTTTATGACTGATTTGAAATTTGATTCATTAAAGAAACCAAACATTACTTAGAGCAGCGAAACCTGAGCTTTAAAGTTCTAATTCTCTATAATGCTCTAGGATACGATACTGAAGCCCCCAATAGATTGCTTTCAAATGTAAAGATTTTATTCCTTCCACTGAACACTTCTTTGATCTAACCTACTGGTCAAGGAATCATAGAAGCATTTAAAGCCTATTTATGTCAGGCATATTTACCTGGAAATAAAGCACTAGACGAAGAAAACCTGGACACACGAAGTGCATTTTGGAAGCAATTCAACATAAGACCATACAGAAAAACGATTAAACTCGCATAGGAACAAGTGAATTCATCAGCAATGAATGGTTGCTGGCAACAGCATTGGTCAGAAGTCGTAAACGATTTCCATCAGCTGAAAATGAAGCCATTCCATCAGTTGAAGATGAAGCCATTCCATCAGTTGAAGATGAAGCCATGAAATGAAGCCATTCCATCAGTTGAAAATGAAGCGAAGGATGTTCAGATACGGAAGAAGGAACTAAAGAATTAATCAAGAATGACAATGGTGAAATGACAAATGAAGAATTGGATGATATTATTACACTAGCCGACAGTAAAAGCAGCGATAGTAAAGAAGGTGAAGAACTTTTAACGTACAAGAAATTAACGAATGGTTAAAAAGGGAAATGTCTGATTTTGCAATGGAGATTGACACAAATGAATGAAATAGACACTTTATGAAAGATCTTGAAAAACTTTGTACTCCTTACCGTGAAATGTTAATTGAGTTGCATCAGATATGGTTTCTAAGCAAACGTCACCAGCTACTAAAAATAATTGTATCATATATGTTTATAGCAGTAATAGAAATTCCTTCACTTAACATTTGTTTCGATTTTATCTTTTACTTAAAGTGATGTTTGCATAAATTATACATACACTGCTGACCATCCAAAATCCACCGCGAAGAAGGACAAGTGATATCAGGGCCAAATGTATTTCAGAGGTTACACATAATATCAGGGTTAACTTATTCGGAATAGAGCCTTCTTTGAGGTGAAGAGGACGAGAAAATCAGTAATGAGTATTGTTTTCACGTTTGTCAATAACTGCTGTTATAAGCCGCAGCATTGAGTGAAAACGGCTTCGGATTTGTTGCAGGGACATGGCAGCCCATGCTGCCTCCCCACATAGCCAAACTATATCAGGTATATCCATGGGTGCGGCATGCCAGGCTCGGCGTTCTACCGGACACGTTCGATGGGCGATATGTCTATAGAACTTACATGCCAGAGTAACAATACAATATAATGTGTTAAGAAGAAACCTTGAAAGCTGCATGCAATGTGTAGTCGCATTGTCTTGGTGGACATGGCCGTAGACAAATCTGAAAATAAGGAAGGAAAATAGGCTGCAAAGCCTCAGAGATACAGCGTTAGCTGGTAAATATACCAATAATAATGCGAACTAGGAGGGTGCGAGATTGGAATCCAATACCACACAACACCATAACTCTGGGTGCAGAATCAGTATGACGATGAATAACACAATAGTTGAGCATTCTTTCTCCATGGTGTCTCCAAACTTTAACATGAACATCGTAGTACTGCAAGCAGAATCGTGATTCGTCCGAAGGCTCGAAGATCCGTCCGGTGGATGTCCATCTCCGCCGTTCAGTACACCATTGCAAACGCAAACGCCTGTGGCTTAAAGGCAATGAAAGCCTAGAGGGGAGGGCAGTCCGTTCTACTGTAAATGACTTGGATTTGTTCGCGCAGGTACCTATTGTTGTGTTACAGACTGTCTTCGTTGTGATATGGTTGCGAATGTGGCAGAGTGCTCCGTCAGTGCCATGCGCACAATAAGCCTGTCTTCCAGTGGAATGGTACGACGAGGAGGTTGCAATTGCCCCTGTCCGTCAGTCGTTCCCTTTTGCATTCATCGATTCCATATTCGCATGACTGTTGCTTGTCTACGTCCGACACGATGATCAATTTCCTAGAAGAAAAATCTGCAATCTCTGTATGCGACAATTCTGTCTCGGTTGAGCTCAGTGATGCAGGTGTTTTTCTACAAGGCATACTGAAGTTGCACACGCAAAAAATCTTACGAGAGAACAATTCACATTATTCAAAACGGAAAGCTTTGCTCTCATTGTGTACGAATTATAAGGAGCGCATACTTACTTGAATATTTCATCGCGGTCTATACATGATGCAAGTTTCATGCTGTTTCGATGATTCTTTCATAATGCTGCATTTTGGATGGCCAGCAGTTTACTTTCTTAATCTAAACTATACTTTATCCGTTTTTCCATTGAAAGTTAGCTTTGCAGAATGCGATTTTGCCCTATGCGCAATGATTTAATGACGTTACCCTTGCATTCATTGAGAGTTTATTGTATGCGACTTTGGCCTTCAAGTTTCATCTTTCTGCTACTCAATAACGCATTATATACTCCAACACCATTTACAAAAATCGACCATATTTTAAAGTTATTTGTGTCTTTCCTCACCCGCATCATAAATTGTTACATATTACACACACATTTTGCATGTGTGAGAAATGTAGATAATCAATATATGTAACGAAAAGTAAATATGTAAACAAAGACAACAAAGTAAGAAAATTTCGTTTTATTGCTTTCTGCTTAATTCGTGCGGATTTAGTTTACTGATTAAAAGGCTTAAATTATTATTTATTATTGACTCTAAATTATTAAGCACTTTTTTTCGTGATGATTGTCAAATTTGTCAAATTTTCTATTTTTTATTTTACTATCTCCTAAACTTTTACTTCTATTAGACAATTCTACTAGGAAATCTGTTGTTCAAAATATTTTCTTTCTTTTCTTTTCTTTTCTTTTCTTTTTCTTTTTTTTTTTTTTTTTTTTTTTTTTTATATTTGGCTCTTAAAGGTTTTAGAAAGTTATAAAAAATTTTACAGTCTAGTCTTTTTTTGTCCCTAAATAAATAAAACTTAATATACGAAATACAGTTTGGATTGATAGTTATATTTACCAGGTTATTGCAGTAAGCAGAGCACTTCTGTAAGCCACTTTCATCACAAGAGTACAGTCTGTCTGTACTTCTTCTTTGGAATACTAACGTATACTCTACGTACAGCAAGCAAGAACATCCTAATGTATCACTTTGGGGATTGTTATTGTCTTCCCTTTGAGGATTGTTACCGTTTTCCTTTTCATCACGACATGGCCTTCCATATCCACATCCACTTGTACCGGAGTGACTGTCTTCATGATCGTAATAATCATGGCTGTCATGTGAGTGTTTGTCATTGTGATGCGGATAGTCGCTATGATGATCAGAGTGATCATAACTGTCGCCGTGATGAGACCAGGGCTTAGGATACGCTTGCCAGTTTCTTGGTCTCCAGGAACTTGGATACCTTGAAGAATAACTCCAACGGCGTACCCAAGGAGGATGCGCTAATATGCTGTTGAATATAAAATAATAGCAGCGTTATTAACTTGAAAATTTCTTATAAGCATATCATAGAACATTGTGCTAAATCTTATATCATACGGATTAAGAAACATACATAAATTTAAAATCCTCTTCTCTCTTTTTAATTCAAAAAACAAATTAGTAGCTGTCTTTTTTTTCCATGGTACAGAAATGAAATTTATATATACTTACAGTTTAATTAATTAATTAATTAAGGAGATGAAGTTTTACATTTGACGTTATTAAATTATACGGTTCAGTCTGCTGATTAATTAAGCAATTAGTTCATTTTTGCCATACACCTTTCCCTCAGATAAGTTAATCAGGATTTCTTTTACGGAATTTACCAGATTTTCACAATACATATATATTATACAGGGTGTTTCATAGATCATGGGACAAACTTGGAGGGGTGGTGGAGCGTACTAAAACATGCTTTTTTATATAGGAATGTAGGGTCTAAAGTGACGGGTTAAGGCAGGAACGGAAAAAAAAAAAAAAAAAAAAAAGACACGAGAGGAAAATGTGTTTATGTACAAAATCAACGCGCAAAGTGCTTTTTTGTAGCAATATAGTATTCACAATAAGTGTTCAAAATTGCGACCACCAGCAGTAATACATATTTGGTAACGTCGCAGAAGGGATTGAAGAATATTTTGAAAAACGACAGGCATTTCGCGCACGCTTGCAGCCGCAATGAATAGTTGTGCAACAAGGTCCTCCAGTGAGTCAACGGGAGTCTCGTAAATGATGCTCTTCAGATGGCCCCATAAAAAAAATCCAAGCTGGATAAATCTGGCGAACGGGGTGGCCATCAAATGGGCCATCTAACGGCCGATCCATCGGGCCGGAAATGTCCCATCCAAGTAATTGCGGACCCGCACGTGGTTATGGGCACCATCATGCTGGAACGACATGCGATCACGAACGACAGCCGGAACATCCTGCAGCAATTCCGGTAGCACCTCTTGCAGAAAAATATGATAACATAAACCAATTGCACATGCAGGTAAAAGGTATGGGCCTATGAGGTAGTCGTTAACAATACCCGCCCACACATTCAAGGAGAAGCGGATTTGGAATGCATTTGGACGTGTGCCGTGTGGATTATGAGTTGCCCACACGTGCATGTTGTGGCTATTAAAGATGCCGTCCTGTGAGAAAGTCCGTGAATAGCACATCCGATGGGAAATCCGCCTGCGCCGCACAGTGCTGCAAGAACCAATGACAGAAATGAACTCGAAGAGTGTAATTTGTCTCTTGCAAGGCTTGGACTCTCTGCAAATGGTATGGGTGCAAGCCATTTTCATGCAATACTCTCCAAACGGTGGAATGACTCAGCTGCAGACGATGTGCAATAGCCCTTGTACTTGTCTGAGGTGATTCATGCACAGTGTTCAAGACGGATTCTTCAATGAGGTTGTCGTGCACTTCTTCCACTCCTAGTGTCAGAGGTAGCTTCAAATGACCCGTTTTCACACAGAGACCGATGAAACCTCTCGAACACTGTGTGATTCGGAATACGCCTGTTCGGAAACGTTCCTGGTACAACCGTAGCGCCACTTTGCCGTTCCCATTAGCAGCACCATACATGAGCTGCATGTCAGCTTTTTCCCTGTGCGTAAATTCACACATCACGATCGACATCAGAGTTCCGAATGATTCTCTGATGCATCGGATCGTGGTTCGTCCGGCTCACTGCTGTATTTGAAAACCCCCCGGATTTCTACAATCAGTACCGGCTATTGCCTTCAAGCTGGACAAGGAGTCTGTGTTCAAGTAAGTTTACCATCAGATTTAGTACTTTATGAGTAGTAACAATAAAAATAACAGAAGGATAGTTAGATATATGAATTTATACCTTATAAGTACGATGTTTTTAAAAATAAAATCAGTTTTAACTTTTAATTGTACTACGAAAAATTTAAAAAAGTCAGTTAAATTTAAGTCATAAATTAAGTCACGTTTTAGAAGTAAACATTTTTGGAGTTTTATTAGCTAATTTTCTAGCGTCCTAAGACTAAATTATTTTTTAAATAGAAATTGCGCATAATTTTGTTAAGAGTATAAAGTATATAATAAACATATTATTTAAAAATAGGGCAATGAAAGAAATTGTAATATAATCTGCGCACTTAAACTTTTACATCAGAATCAGAAATGTCCCATCACTTTTAACATACATTCTTGAATTTCAAGATATTTATTATTTAATACATATTCATTTGTAATACACAAATTCTGAAGGACTGTCAAAGAGTTTCCAATACAATTCAAACAATCGTCCTTTTTTTTGCATTTTTGTAAGGCAATCATGTGGAAATCCTATAATATCTTAAAACAATAAATAAATAATAAAATTTCAGTCTTGTGTTATCCTTTGTTCAGCACATGGAGGATTTAATTTTGAGATGTATAGTTAATGAAATGAGATGTATAATTAAACTGCTCATATTTCCCTCCCAGGTTTTCTCCTAGAGGATTTTACTTCATACATTTTGCTTGCACTAAACCAAAGTGAACAGATTTCTTAGATTCTAGTTCATGGAGCAAGTAATGGCGAATTTGGGCTATCAACTTAGAGGGTTAACAAACGCATATATGTATATTTTCATGATTTTTGTATGTAAACTCAAAATCCGGGATACAACTGATTTTGGAATTTACGAGCTTAAATGTCTACTTAGTATATCGCCTGTGTAGGTTTCTGAGTCAGCTTGTTAAGTTTAAACTTAAACTGTATAGTCTAACACTACTCTTATCTTTATTGTTAAAGTACCTCTAAGTTCTCGCCGCAAGTAGTCGCTGGTCGCTGCTGCTGTATGCACGCAAGTCCGTGCCTTTCTTTTGAAGAGTTGTGATTAATAAAAGGGTCTTTTACATCCTTTCTCTATTGTGTTCATCTTCACGCCTGTGAGAGAATTCGCAAAGGTTTGGAACCTAAGTACACCTTGTTTAAAAAAGAATATACGTGTTACAAAGTGTTATTTTGTCCAAACTATCGATCACTGCGCCTCAACTCGGCTATTGGCGAAACGAATACACAGTCTAGTTTATATTAATATCCGCTGTAAGGTATTTCTCCCGCCTTCCTAGCGTGTCTTCGTGGTGTAGTGGTCAGCACACTGAGCCGGAATTTCAGAGGCCCGTGGTTCGAATCCCGGCGAAGGCGTTAATTTTTCAATCTCTCTTGCTTCTAAAAAATCCTACACCGCGCTTCTGTTTCGCGTGGTAACCGTCACATGTTTAAAATGGCTACTCCGCAGCAGAAATCACTTTGTGTTCTCGAATTTGACACCCTGTGACTTCTTCCTGTGGGGTTTCATTCAAGGTTCTGTAGGACTGGTGGTACATAAGACAACGTTTATGTACCACCAGTCCTACAGAACCTGGAAGAGGTGAAGAACCGGATCCGTACTGTCATAACATCAGTGACGACGGACATGCTTGCCCGAGTATGGGAGGAATTTGAGTATCGATGAGATATTGTTCGTGTCGCTGATGAAGGACATACTGAACATCTGTGACATCTGTAATCTGAACTTGAGAAGATCGTACATATGTGTATAAAGTTTCATGTTTGTATGTAATACAGTTTAATAAATATATGCATCCGAAATACGTATATTCTTTTTGAAACACGCTGTAGATGTAGTCACATTGTATGATAGCCAAGAAGATTAGATCTTATATATAAATTTGTAGGTCTTTCAATTCTGATCCAACACCGTTTAAATTGCAAAATAGCTCTAATAGAATGCCAGATATTGGTAAATATACTCCTCAAATTACTAATATATGAAATAACATCAGCATTATCAATATATATTCAAATTTAAATGATATAAATAAAGTAAGTAAATAAAATTTCCATAGAGAAGAAAAAATAAGTTCGTCCATATTTAAAGTTTAGTTATTAAACGATAAGATGCTTTCATTCACTGAAGAATAAAACAACGTTCCTTAAACAGTATGCGTAACAGTACATCTTTCATCAAGTATCTCAAATATATTTTGGGATTTCTAGGATACATAGAAAAATAGTTATCCTAACAAATTTTACTATGTCTCAAGAAATTATCAGCTATTTATAGTTAGGGTTTACTAACTGATTGAAGGAAATTTTATTTTATTTTTATAAATTGTCAAAAGCAAGTTGATCAGAAAATTTCACCTTGAATTAGTATTTTCAAAGTAACAATGTGAAAAAATTGTCTAACTTATCATTAGTCAAAATACTTTTAAAGGATTTGTCATACCATATATATTCCCTTCTTATTTCACATAGGTAGGTTATACTAATAGTAAACTGTAGAAGATGAAACTATTTGTAACTGAAGAGGTAGAAACTATGGAAGTAAAAATATCCTTAACTATAGAAGATAAAAATATTTTAAAACGGTTAGTAGTAACAAGATCTTTTTAAAATCGCGGTGTTTGTTGATTGAATTCGAAAGATAAATATTATATTGCTTTTTGTGGAATGGTCTTTTGTATTGCTGACCTTTTTTCTAATCCAGTTCGAAAGATAATATCTTAAGATTTGCTTAGTGGCAACACGAAGATTTTATATATCTGAGTATTTAAACAAAAGTTCCTAAAATTCGCGCAAAATATGAAGTAAGTAAGAAATAAGAAACAAATTCGAAATTCAGGCTTCGAGTTGCACACGTTCGAGTGGAAGGCTTGTGTGTTTAACACTTGTGTTCGAATGGAAGGCTGTGTGTTGTGCTAGATGCCGCCGCTTCTTGAAAATGCGATTAAAGTTGAAAGGTGACAACTCATTCTTTTGTATTGCTGACTCTTTTTCTAATTAAACTCGAAACATAAATATCTTACGCTTAGCCGAGTGGCAACACAAACTTCTAAATTGCTGAATTTTCAATCAAAAATTCATTAAATTTGTTTAAAAGTCATAACTTGTAAAATAAAAAATCTGATGTGTACACCACATGACTTCCTTGTACGGAATATTAAATTATACGCATTTTTCTTGTATTTTATTTCAACTTATTAGATTGAATTAAACCTACTTCGCCGACAGCGCATAAACCACAATAGAATATATGCATTCTTTAAAATTCACTTTGTTTACCACAGCGACACTCTGGCGCTAGGTTTATTTAACAGTATTATATTTCATTCATATTATAACTCAGAATGCACAAAATTTATATCATTTAAAGAATTATCTAATCGTTGCCACATGTTCTATTCAAATACTATAATAAAGCTAGAACTATGTATAAAAGAAATTAAGAAAATAAAACAAAAAAGAAACAGTTTTTCACAGACGATTGAGTATTTCTCATTCAATTAATTCAGTTCTCACTTCGCGAGAAGGCAAAAATACATAAAAACTCAAAATATCTATATTAAAAATTACGAAGTAAATCTCAAACGCTTATTTCCTCGAAAAAATTCCAGAAAGAATTAAGCATGATTTAATTGGCAATAATAAATGAATGCGTTATCTTTGTTGTTGCGAAGCTAAGTTTCTCTAGATTGGCAACAAAAATCGAAAATCGAGATTGAGTCAATGGCTAGGCGGCAATTAGTAGCCAACCGCTACTTTAACCGTCTCTGTTGGTAAATTGCCCTAAGGCGTTGGTACTTAAGTTTTTAATTAAGGCGATTTACGCCGCGCCAACTAGGCGAAACTTGTCAAATTTTGTGAAATGTAGGTGGAGTAAGGGAGATGATTGGCAGGAGCCTGTCACGCGGGTGGTCACCAGCTTACGCGTACAATGAGAAATATTGGAAATATTAATAATTATCAAGTTTTGAAACAGGTTATCTAGATTGGAATAATTAAACTAATATCACGATCTAAATGAAGACAAATGGCACAACTAAGTGCAACAGATTAGCTAAACAAAATATTCAAATTCATCCTTTCTGTAAAACACAGATTGGACAGTGGTAGTCACGTGGGAGTCACCCTCCCGTGAACTGTCCACAGCCCAATGGCATCTTGAAATAGTAGATATCACAATTCAGTGAAGTCTTGGTCTGAGAAATTAAAACACTAAAGTTCTTGTACAACACTGAGGCACATGAGTTACTGTAACTATACACTATGTACATATAGGGACGGCGATATTTGAGCGAAGTGGCAAATGGTGAAAAACATTTTACACTAGCAATAAATAATCAGAGCTTGAAGATCCAGGTACACGGATCATGTCCATAAGTCCACAATATACAAAGTCTCTGGTATAACAATAAGAAGATTGAAAGTGATAAATACGAAATATGACCAATATAAGATCAGTGCTTTGAAGATCCCAGGTACACGGATCATGTCCATAAGTTCTATAAAGTTTCAAAGACACTGGTAAAAATGACACAATGAAGATTAAAATAAAGATAATAGTACTATGTACAATATATACACATTTCACCATTTGCTGTTATGGAAGATGCCTCTTGGGCGCTTTGCTGCATTTTCTATAGTAGGATCATAATTTATCAGATTACGGATATGTTCGTACTTGAGAAGTTCTATTTTAGCATAGAAATTGTGGCTCGTGGTGAGAATTTGATCATCTATGGGTCTTATTTTAGTTCTTTATGTATCTGCAGGTTACGTACGAACCATGGGGAAGTCAACAATTTGTCTGAGTATTTTGTTCTGAAAGACCTGTAGTTTGCGTCTATAAGTCTTGTACACAGTGGCCCAGATAGGCACTGCATAAAGTAGGGTGGGTCTTATTAAGCTGGTATAGATCTTCTTCTTGAGACTGATATTTAATTTAGCATTTCTTCTTATTAAAGGGTAAAGAGACATTTTAGCAGCGGTGGCTTTGCGCAAGGCATACTCCGTGTGTTCTTTGAATAACAGCTGTGAGTCGAAGACCACTCCTAGAATACTTGGTACTTTGAAACAATTGCTAGGGCTTGATCATTAATTTTTATATTTACATTTACAGGAGTGAACTTCCGATGACGTCTGAAAAGGAGAATTTGGCTCTTTGACGGATTTACTTTTAATTTCCATGAATCATAATAGTGTGCTATGATATTTACTGCGCTTTCAAGTTTATCTACAGCGAGCTGAGGTTTTAGCGACTTGGTTAAAATTGCTGTGTCGTCGGCATATTTCACTACTTTTGCATTCAAAGGAACCGGCATATCATTCGTGTAATTGGCAACAAATCCACTAGTCTCCTGTTTCAAATGTAAACATCAATGGCCGCCATTGATAACAGGGTTAGCGGCAATTAAACAACTTTAAAATTGCTGATAATTCTAAAAATATTGCACACAGATTTAACGGGTTGGAGGGAAAGTTCTGTCGTATTTTAAATAGGCAGGTGATTTTTCTTGTAAATAAAAAAAAAATCTGGCTAGTGAGTCAATCGGATTTTTTTTTTGTTTTTTGTTTTTTTTAGCTGCTGTATAATATAAAAGGTGCCTTTTTTTACCGTTAATCATTTACTTGTAATATTTAAAGGGAAAAACATGTCGGTAGATAAAGTGCATTTACGACACTGCATTTTATATGAATTCCAAAAAGGAAGCAACGCATCTGTTGCATGTAAAAATTTATGTGCGGTATTTGGAAAAGATATTGTAAATGTTCGTACTTGTCAAAGATGGTTTAGCAAATTTCGTTCCGGGGACCTGAGCCTCAAAGAAAGTGTTCGATCTGGACGACCATCCAAGATCGATAATGATGTTTTGCGATCCATGTTGGAAAATAATCCACATTTAACAAGTCGAGAAATTGCAGAAGAGTTTGGCATTTATCATACAACTGTTGGAGATCACATTAAATCTCTTGGGTTTGTGTTAAAGCAAAGTGTTTGGGTTCCACATGAATTAACGGAAAAGAATTTGTCTGATTGTGTAAGAATATGTTCATCACATCTGATTAGACACAATGTGGAGCCGTTTTTGGACAGGCTGGTTACTGGAGATGAAAAGTGGATTCTTTACGAGAATATTAAAAGAAAAAAATCTTACTGCAAACCAGGAACATCATCAGCAACAGTTCCAAAAACAAGTATCCATCAACGAAAAGTACTGCTTTGTTTGTGGTGGGACAGGAAAGGTCCAGTGTATTACGAGTTGCTGAAACAGGGAAAAACATCAACGCGGATCTGTACTGCAATCAGCTGGATAAATTGAATGCAGCTATCAAAGAAAAAAGGCCAGCATTAGCGTCCAGAAAAGGAATAGTGTTCCATCACGATATGCTCGCCCGCATACTGCAGTGGTGACACTACAAAACTGAATGCGTTAGGATGGGAAATCCTTAGTCACCCCACGTATTCACCTGACATTGTGCACCCTCTGATTATTACCTGTTCAGATCTCTGCAAATTATCTAACAGGAAAAAAATTCAAGTCTTTTGAAAAGTGTTTTCTAAGGCAGTTGCTGACTATTTTAACTCCATGGATGAGAACTTCTACAAAACAGGAATTTACAGGTTACCTGGAAGATGGCAACAGGTTTTAACAAATAACGGAGCATATATAATTGATTAATATTAAACACATATTTTTATAAATGAATTCAAATATTTTCTTTAAAATACGACAGAACTTTCCCTCCAACCCTATACTAAAGGCATAAAATCCTTAACCGGAAGATAAAAACAATATAATTCAATCATTTTTAAAGAAAAAAATGTACAATTTACAAACATCTAAGAGTAAAGAAACTGAGATCACTGAGCCGGGTAATAGAGTGGATATATATATATAAATATATTTATATATGTTCGGTGCAGCCGATTGCAACCAAAATACGAGGTGCACATCTACATGTTATAGCAGTCCTATGTACAAAATTTCAACGTTCTGAGGCTACTCGTTTTTGAGTTATGCGAGATACGTACGTACGCCACGAAAAATTCTCTTCAGAATTAATTTTAAAGCAGTTTTATAATTTTTTTTGAAGAAAAAGAGTTACTTCGTACAAGTAAGTAAAACAGTAAATAAAAAAACAAATTCGAAATTCAAAATTCCGTCTTGAGGTGCGTATATTCGGGTAGAGGAAATTTGCTGGCTCTAGGTGCCACCTTTTTTTTTCGCACAATGTGAGGAACAATCACACCTACATGCATACAGATTCTTCACAATTTAATAGTAAAGATGCGCAAGCATTAAAGCATGTAATATAAATTGATCCAAAACCCAAACGAATGAAAGATTCATAAGGACCAAAAAAATGTTGAAAATATGGCGAAACAAATTTTAAATAGCGAAAAACACAAATACGTTTCAGTGGCATTTTAGTAAAAAAATTTCTCGGAAATATTACTTGGAATAAAAAAAAAATCTTTTTACAATCGCAACTAGACGAGTTAACAATACTGAGATATTTCTACTCCTTGTGGCTCTGGCTACAAATCAGCATTTAATGGCTACATATTATGCAAAATAAATACATTTTGATTTATTTTAAAAAGAACTACTAGAACGTAAAATTAGCGCGAAAATGTACTTTCATTTTAAGCGAATGAATGAAAGCGAGAAGACGACTGGTTATAACCATTCTTCATTTTGAATACTGATTATATCCAATAAAAACTAGCAGTTAGAATGAATGATAAGAGTTAATACACCTTGGCTAACTGGTAGCAATTAATACTCCTTTGAGATTACTATTACATTTTAGAAAACACCTTAATTTTAAATAAAATTGAAAAAATAAAATATGTGCAACAAAATGGACATTTATAAAAATGTAATAAAACGATAAACACTACTTAACATATAAAATATGTATCATACCTTGTAAAAAGTATCACCAAGCATATCAATACCGAAAGTAGCCTGCCCATACCGTAAAGGTAGCTTCAAGGATTAATCTCCCAGCCGCAAGTTACGCTTGAACGTCCTTCTTATAAAGTATGAAGAGAATATTGACATCATGTTTCAGCCCACAGGCTCTTTCTAAACAAAGGATGTGATTTCATCGACTAAGGAAAATAACAGGAAGGGGTGCGTATAATAACTGAATTTGCATTGCTTTACAATAATAATGTGCAAATTTACACTTCAGATGAGAATGTAAGTTTATAAATGAGTGAGCTACATTAGAGGAAGCACGGCGAAATTTTTAAACAAAGTTTAAGATATTAAAAGGCAGACTGCATTTAAAATGATTGGAGATATAAAATAGGCAGTAATGAAAAGAGCAACATTCAAAATAATGGTTTCAGACATTTGAACGAGGAAATTTATTTCCAATTTTCAACAAGAAATATTAATAACAACTCAAATAAAATGGTAACGATACATACTAATGTATTATTTGATATGTAGATGAAATCCATCTTCCTCTCTTTGTTATTAATGTAACTATTTGTAATTCATTTCTGATTGTTGCTCCTTTTTTTTTTTTTAAATGAAATCGGCAAGACATTTGCCGAGAACTCTGGCTGAACTCGTTCCAGTTTAACCGTTTCATTACTTATGACAGAGGTAGTCAGTGAACATGATGTTATTAGCCCAAAAGTGATGTTAGTCCCGAATGGAATATTAGTCTTGAAACGGCGTTTTTCGTAGAAACACTTAAATGTGTTGCATAACTTTTCAGATTGCTCCGCTAAATACTAACACGGACACATGGAAGCTCGAATTTTGAATTTAGATTTTGTTGTATTATCTATTTCATATTTTGTAAACCTTTAACGGATTTTTGATTAACAAAACTCAACGATTTCAAAGCAAGCAGTGCCACTCTATTCGGAAAGAAATATTTTTTACTCTCCACCGCGCGAGATTATCTATCTCAAATTTTTAAGATATGCAGTTTCTAAATATTTTGTTATTTTGCCGTTGAATCGAATTTTATGTGACGTAAGCGCCAAGAACGTGATAATAAATAGTGTAAACGCGCAAAAATTTAATAATAGAAAGACAAAAAAATGTTTTGTAAAGCTAGCTTAGTAAGAAACTTGAACGTTGATAAGAGGAATTGAGAAAAGACTGAACCCCCCATTTTTTGTCTTTTCAGCTTTATTATTAAGCATAATTTTCCTGGCCCTGACGCCATATACATTTCAACAATAAAATCACACAAATTTTTAAAGCAGCATTACAATATAGGTTGTAGAGATATTAGGTATTTTTGGAAGCAGGCAAGATGAAAAATTAGTAACTCCTTCGCCTGGAATCAAATCGTGGAACTCTGAATTACGCGCTGAGCGTCGTGCAGACCACTACACCACGAAGGTAAGCTAAGAAGGCGGGAGAAATACCTTATATATTCCCCCTTTTAAAGGGCGACTGGGCTTTTTAGGGGACCCCCATCGCCAAATCCTGGGTGAGGAGAATCCTCATCCAACAACCTTTTAGTTCGAGCGCCACAGTAGAGACATTAGGTAATTTTGGAAGCAGGCAAGATGAAAAACTAGCAACGCCTTCGCCGGGAATCGAACCGCGGACCTACCAATTGCGCGCTGAGCGTGCAGACCACTACACCACGAAGGCTCGCTGAGAAGGCGGGAGAAATACCTTATAAGGTTTAGAATTACCGATGCAGCTTTAAGAGCTGACATACATTTCAGTCTTTTCCGTACATATATAAATATTTCTTTCCGTACAGTGTTGTCGCTGGTCGCTTTGATATCGTTGAGTTTGTTAGTAAAAATTTTGTTAAAGTTTTACAAAACATGAAATAGATAATAAAATAAATTCGAAATTCAAAATTCGGGCTGCGAGGTGATCATGTTCGGGTGGGGGACTACGTTATTCAAAATTGAATGGCTCTAGGTACCGTCACTTCATCACAATGCGAGAAATATACATACATTTATACAGATTCTTCATTATTTAATTTCTTTAAATATAATACACAGCTCTAATATTTGGTGACAACCGTTTGAAAAGTGATACACTGTATTTAAGTGTTTCGACGCAAAATGCCGTTTTCGAATTATAATCCCATTCGGGACAAATGTCCCATTGGGGCCAAAAATGACGATAATAAATTTTCGGAACCAATTACCCTTTTTTCCTTGTAAAATTCTTCAGATGAGTTATCGTGAATAATTCTTAGCCTTGAATTCATATATATTAAATTTACACAAAGTTCTTATATCTTGTATTTTAACAGTTTCTAATTGAAATTCTTTTCTAGAGTGAGGCACTTCAAAATAGCAGAATCTCCTAGAACCTACGAAAACAGTATATACTGGCGGGGGGGGAGGGAAAACAAATGGGATAGTTCTGTATCTCCCATTCTACTGGGCCGATTGTCGAAATTCAACTTGCATTTTTCATGCCTCGAAAGCGCGACTTAGGATATCTATTAGATTTATGTATTGCATTATTCTAATATATAGGCATTTTGACACAAAATCGGACGTTTTCTGAAATTACAGTTTTTTTCCTCCATACGTCGATTCTACGATTCAAATTATGCCTGAATATTAAATTTTGTGAAATTTGTTGCGAAATTTTCAAAGCAATTTAAAAATTTATTTTGGCGCATTTTTTTTTTTTTTTTTTTTAGTTTGTGCCTAGAATAATTCACTTGGGGAACTTCTAAATTTATAGCAACCTATTTTTCTTTCCCTTTTTTTTTCATCGTATAGGAGTGGAAAAAAGTCATTGTTCGTACTTTCATATAATTGTAACAAAGTGCGTAAACAACGTTTGGCGTTTTTATCGCTTATAATAAATATGCCAAATTTCAAAATGCTCCAATATGTAAATTCAGAGTTAGGTTCAGTATTAGAAAGGGTTAGCACACCAATTAAGAACTGCCTTTCTTAAAAAAATCTTCCAGAGATATAACCTTCTAAAGATAGAATGTCGTATCTTGCACTCTTGTGCTGCATGCTTCCAGGATTTCTTAAACTTTTTTCAGTCGCGACCCTTTTTTATCACTGAGAGTTTTTCGCCACCCTCGAGACTCCATAATATTTACAAAAAATTTTGTGGGACCCCATAAGTATTGCGCAAATCCGACACACGCGTGAGTGAAACTGTCAATTTTTTTACTTGCACTATAATATACTATTGCAGTTTTAGGTCACTAACTTTAATTTCTAATTTTAAGACATAGAACAATGTGAAAATTTTAAATAAGTAACAGACGAAAAGACAGCGTCACGTGCAAAGCAAGGAAAATGATCGTTTATATTATAAACAAAATGCGTCGAACCGGTTTTTTTTTTTTTTTTTTTTTTTTTTTTTTTGTCTGTATTGTCTTATCTTTATCTATTTTCATATACCTTGTGTAAAAATATTTAGTAATTGTAAAATTATTATAATAAGTTAAAGAAATATGAAAACTATTAAAATGTTTGGCGACCCCCTGCTGCAGGTCCCGCGGGTCGCGACCCACAGTTTAAGAAACCGTGCTTCAAGCGAATTTCAGTTCAGCTAATTAAAAATTGGAATTCTGGAGTTCTCTGTTCATTATTCTTGTTTGCTTTGGCTTCTTCGTAGATTCATAAATTCAGAATACTTTCAAAGTTAAAATTAATCTTTCTCTTAGGTATCTGCGAGTAGTTGAATAATAGCAGGTAAAACCTGAATAAATTCACACAGGAATACGTTCCAAATCTACAGTTCGTCAAATGATTTAATTGCTAAATTGGAACTTGCTCTAAATTCTAAATATTAGGCCTTCAGAAACAAGTGCAGTATTCAAATACGAATACAGAGCAATATATACAGAGGCTGTTCACACATTGTTTAGACGATGTATATTGTATTCACAAAACTAAATTACATAAAATTCTCCTGTTTTAAACGTTCTATTTGACATCCCTTATTCTGAACTATCTTTCGACACTGCAATTTACAGGATAATAATGTCTTTTGAAGTGGCAGAAGAGGTATTCTATCCCATTCCTCCCGAACAGCTTTCCAGAGTCCTGTTAGAGTTTTAGGACACCGTTTGGATAATGCAGTTTTTAAAAGTCCGGAAGCACAAAAATCCATAGGTGACACATCGGGAGATTTAGTAGGGATATCAGTGAAGGGAATGGCCTTGATACCAGATTTTTGTTCCATTTCTTTTAGGAAATTTACAGTGGATTTTGATGTGTGACTGCTAGCTTTGTTCTGATGGAGTCTCACAGATGGATGGCACAGATGGATTTGACTTTTAAAAACATAGTACAATTGCAATTACTTCTTTTGCAGCAAACGATTTTTTATTACCGCTTACCGAAATCGTCTAAAAAATGTGCGAACAGCCTCTGTATTACGTGCGGACCAAATTAAAATTCGTTGCTGGTTCAAAAATTATGATAATGTACAGCGTGTCCACAAATGGTGTTACTCATCTGATCTTTTCTTGAAGTTCTTGTATACTGTACACCTGCTTACTTCCTGCACTTTCAAATTTTTAACTCTTGTAATAAATTGGACGAAGAATTGTGTTCTTCTACTCTTACTGAAGGACATAAATGAGCAATCTTCGCTTTACTATTTGGGGTTTATAATATTAATTAGGAATTTAGTTCTGAATTTAGATTTGGATCGGTGGTTGGTGTCGTGTACTGAGATAGTAAAGTAATTTAGAAAAAAAAAAAAAAAAAAAAAAAACATAAAATACACGAATACTAATAAGAACAATAGTACTTTCATTGTCAGATTCAAAATAGTTTGAAGAGGAGGAAGTTTCCGTCAACATTTCAAATTAATTACCCTTTTCAAATTAGCGGAGTTTGAAACGGCCAGAAACGTAACTAGTTTTGCCAGAAAAACAATCAATTGCTGACGGACTCTTTCTAGTTCTGAAAAGTTTTGAGTCTGACAATGATAATACTACTTTCCCCTTTTTGTATTTATTTCCCAAATTACTTTACATCTTAGTCCAAGCTAATACAATAGATTCCATTAACTTTTACTTTTTCAAATTTCCGTCGTACTTCGCCTACTTTGTTTTAATTTAATATAGTAAATAATTATATTAAGTAATATTAGCAATTGCCCAGGATTGTAAGTTTATTTATAT